TGGGACTTTGAGTGGATTTAGTGGTACCATATCGTGATAGACACCATCAACGGATAATGAAGCACTGCAAGGCAAAAAAGTCAAAGAAAATTACACCTTCAAGGCAAACATTTCAGAAAGCCATAATTGGTGGAAAAAAGGAGTACGATCTAGGAGTTAAAATAATAACCTACTGATTATTAAGAAAATGCGCGATCTAGCTCAGGGACCAAGAAAGCCGGAAAGCTGAAATTTTGGAAGAATGCTCGCTGCCTGTGTGCGGTGCAAATTTCAAATTCGATTCCTAAATAGACTCCTTTTTCACTTTTGGGCATATGAAAGTTTTGACGGAAACTCGGGGACTAAAGAGACCAAGTTCAAATTTTAGGAGAATGTTCTCTTTCCATATGCGATTTAAAGACTTCAGTTCCTAAGTATACCTATATCTCACGTAAAAATTCAAGCGGGAAACTTTTTAGCTCGAATTTCGTCATCCTCCTCTCGATATTTTGTTCGTTGCCCAATTGTATTTCCAACAAATGACCAGTGACAGCAAACCTTTCACTTCCATTCATATAAAAACTACAGTGTGCTGGAGGCTAAGATTTCACGCGACCCCATTATGCAGCACTCTCTCCTTTTCCGCTTGTATACAAGACCAAAACCAGCCAACATGAGTGCACATCTCAAAACGTAAAGCAACTACCATTCACACTGCTTCAAGTTTAGCGCAAAAACGCATGATCGCATCAAAAACCCTGATGTGCGTTGCAACCTAGATTTTGTGGACAAAAATAAAAAAAAACACTGACCGGACAGGACTTCTCGAAAACTGCAACCAGTACGATGAGTTGTCTTGGAGGCGTAAATCGCTCATCGTCAAGTGAACAGCAGAACTAGATGCGCCGACGGGACCAAAATTACTGAGATCAAATTTCGCATTTGGTGAATGATTCTCAATCGATGTGCTTATATACTGAAAAAGAAAACTTCCTAACCCATCCAGTTTATGTACTTGCAACTAAACTTATACAGCAGTTGTGCAAGTCGTGCAAAACGACAACAGATGAAAGCTTGGCGCCGAATGTTCATGTGAAAAATGCGCAAAAACGGGTGCCAAGCTGAATGGAACCCAGACTGAAGTAAACGAACGCTGGATGGATTCCGAATTAAGTGGAAGGTTCTGGCCGAACGTATCCGTGAATTTACGTGATGTATCCATGAATTTATGCACAAACCAGAAAAAAATTGGAAAAGCTTCCAGCTGCATCAGTGACTAAGCGAAAAAACAGTAATTTCATCTCAATTTTCATTACTGAAAGAATTTTTAGCATTTTTAATGCACGTCAAATTAATGAGAAAGGCAGTGGAGAAATCTTTTCATGCAGCTGCTTCCATCTCTTCCTTCCTTTTTCCCTCACTGCTCGCTTTTTGCTAAGCCGGAAGCGGAAACTCCGAGTTCCTAGCTTGTCTCATTTAAAAAGTAAACGAAGCGCAGCTGAACTTTAACAAATGTTCTAAAATAAGTGTAAATCTTTTTCGAAAATTACCTTTTCACCAGCACTAGCAAAGCCAAGTTCCCCAGTACCACCACTGCTTTTACCCGGCAGAAAGAGGACATCCACATCAGTTGTCTTATCTTCCAGACCCACTTTCACGTCATATTCCACAAATGCTCCTGGACCGAATTCCACCCATTTGAATGGTGTGTCGCATCGATCACCGCCATAGCCCGGATCGCACGAACATTTCGGAACGTTGGACTGCAAAAAAAGACTTGATTTGGAGTACCCAATTAACACGACGATCCAGCCAGAATCCAAGAAAAAATTCGATTTCTGAATGCAGCGCTAATGATAAAATGATCAGAGCGATTACTTTTGACGAATGCAGAATCTTTTTGTGCCGATTTGATTTCGAATATTTAACAATAAGGGGCCCAGAACCGACACCGATTTTGAAAAAAACCGCAGAAGTTTGAGCGTAAACGGTTGCTATTGGCAATTTGCTACCGACGACCTAGTTTCGAAAACCTCTACCCTTCGAATAAGAGTGACATGAAGCGATTTTGATTTCCTGACTTTTCACATCGATGGGTGCTAACTGAAGGTATGCAGCTCA